GCCAAAGCACCACAGATCATCAGCCGAGCCGAGTTTTTGTAATTGCCTAGAAAGGTAACCATTTATGTCGGCCGACACATAGTGCTGCAGTCGGTCAACCAAGGTGCGTTCTCATGGCAAGAAAAAGGTGCCGAAAATGAGATCAACGAATGCAAAAACCAACTGTGGATACATATAAATTAGTTTTTTAAAGGGACACAAACTGGGCACGGAAATTTAGCCAGTGAAGTGCAATATTTCAGCAAGGTTGCATTTTCATATTAAAAAAAAAAAAAATAATATTTCTGCGAAATTTAGGCTTGCGGACGATTTTTCCGTTGTTTATGAGGACTCCTTCAAAGCAGAAAAGGAAGGACACGACGCCAGATGAACACGAGGAACATGTTTGCTCGGTGATCAGTTTTTATTCGTTTTGCGCTATGTAACGGCAGCACAAAGCGCATATTGTCACGGGGTTATCTGCATGTTTATGTGTTTGTGTGTGTGTATGTGTGTCCAAGTGCGCTTTTCCTGCAGTTCCAATTCGAGAACCACAAAAGCCAGGTGGCTGAGTTTTTAGGGGACTGTTCTCTGCCCACGTGCGACCCCGAAAATTTAAATTCAGCATTCCCATATGCGCGGGTAACACGTACGGCCCCATGTATGTTTTAGCGAGCAAAATTATTAGCTCGGGAGCGCTTGAGTATCACGTTTGGCCCCATGGGGGTTTTGGCGGGAAAATTATCCTGAATACTATGGAAGCAAGGAAGCTAAAATCCAACGAGAATGTTTCCTGCCTTCGTGCAACCCCGTAAATTCAGAATTTTCAAAATCAGTTCTCAGTCAAGTCTGCGCCTCAGCTATGCCGCCATGAAAGTTTCAGTAGGAAAATTACAATCTCGGAAGCCATAAAAGATAGGAAGCTGAAATTTTGGAAAAATGCGACCTCGCACAATCATATGCAGTTTTCATATACACCTGGGTCTCTTGTGTGATCCTGCGAAAGTTTTAGCGGCAAGAATTATGATCTCTGGAACCAGAACAGCTGTGAGCCTGAAATTTTAAGAAGTTTTACGCCTGTGCAGACACCTCAGAAACTCAAATTTAGCTCGTAATTATGTTAAGGTCTTACGTACGACTAAGTGAGAGTTTTGATGCGAAAGTAGCTAGTTTGGACGCCGGAAAATTGAGAGATTGAAATTTGAAGAATGCTCCCCGTCCGAGATTTCAAATTCTGTTTTTGTATAGTGGCGCTTCAAATTTTTGGTGGGAAATTCACCGGCTTAGGAGCCAGACAGAATATCGACTATTTTTCCACACACGAAGGTGCAAAGCAATGAAAATCCTCAACAGGCAAGCATCCGTTGGACGGAGTTGTGCAAAACTCATGATCGCACCGGCTACATTTATTTTTTGTAACGGATCTTACATATTTCCCAATTGTTGCAGACATAGTGTTTGAGTTTTTTTTTATTGCATATTTGAAGGTATTGGCGTCACTGCTGAGATCTTGCGGCGAAGAAGGCCGTGCTCGAATCTTTTCGAAATTCGCAGAGCATGAATATGAAAAAGTTGATCGGGCAGTGGAGCTAATTTTGAAATACCAGTGAGTTTAATCGGCACAGTTTTAGAAATTTTTTTGATGTATTCTTCAGACGTTACTCTGCGTCATCTGGATTCACTTGACGATGTACAATTTTCTTCAAATTTGTTAAGTAAAGTAATGTGTTCGATAACTGATGCAGGGTGCGTGTGGATCGTTTTGATGCGCGACAAGCAAATCT